GTCCAATCTTGCAAAGAGTTTTAATCACAAACTGCAACAATCAGAGCTAAATATTATACATATATATGTATATTCTATGAATTTCGTACACAGAGAATAAATACAGCAAAAGTTCCACACATACTACCTAATACAAACACTATAGAACTCAATACAAAGTAAAACCAAGACAATAACCACAATAGAAAATAAATTGGTGGGTTACAACCAACACGGATGTAATGCAGGTGCATGAATCAAGTGTACCTGATATAACAAACTAACCTTTATTAGAACTTTGCTGCATTTCCTAGCATGACGTGTGTTAAAAAGTTGAAAGGATGTTAGCTCTCAAAAATAAAACTTAGTCAAGACAAACAGGAATGAAACAAAAAGTCATTGTTTAACGAATGTCCGTTTGAAACATTCAAATGAAAAACTGTAATGCATACATATACAAACACACATACATACTCAGCACTTACCACCTAAGGCAATTGTTCTCCTGTCTGTGTTTGCAGATCTGTGCTAATTGCTCCTCAAAGTTGAGTGACGTGTCATTAAATTATGTTGGTTCTCTGTTCTCTGGTTTAAATTTACATCCATGAGAACATAAAACTTTCCATGTTTGTGTACGTATGTTTATGTATACAAGTCCAGTTTTTTTTAATTTGTCTCTAAAAAGCCTTTAAATATGCCTCTCTATATGTAGCCATTTTAATACCTTGGTGTTATTTCTGTCAACAATAACACGGTGTTGAGACAGCTTTGGGTTTTTTGTCATCTTTCATTCAGTTCACCATCTGCATCTGATAGTGATAGACGCTCTATAAGCATAGCTCCAGAGCTGGAAAACATCTGTTTTGTGCCATAAAGCAATCTCCTCTTACTCAACAAAGTAATAAAGCAGATTTCCCACACATGCCATTAGCTTACAATGTAAAACATATTGTCAAGGCCAGTAGATGTTGCCAGTATTGCTAATGGTCTGATTTGTTTGAAGCTGCTCTAATTAATATACTATCCATGATAACAATGGACTATGTATAATGTGAAAGAGGTCACAGTGACAAGCCCATGGAGAACTATTATCTGACTCTGCAGCTTCCCTCGGCTCTACAGAGCATTTTAAGATCTTTCAGCAATTTTTTTTTTGTTTCACTGCCCATAATTACTGTTTTGGTTCATTCTCACTCTTCACATCAATCAAATTTCAAGCAGCACCTGTCAGTATAAATACTTCTAAGAAAGCCTCTATATCTCTCGAGTCCAGCATCAAATGACAAACAAACAAAGTTAGCGACTAGCTGTTGAACATTGTGGAACATTTAGCAACTAAAGAGGCAGATATTTCCCTCAGGAGACAAAAAAAGACCTAAAACCCATATAAACTTTATAAGGGAATAATTGTTTTGTTTACAGTTTGTTGCACTGCCCCCAAATGGCCAAAAACATCAATTAATGTATAGTATTTATTATTATAATGTATGTATTTAAAGCAAGTATCAAAATGTAAGCATTATTTTGAGTTAAACTGCTACATGTAGCACTCATACGATTAAAGGACTATTGTGGAGGATTTAGTGGCATCTAGTGGTGAATTTGTAGATTGCAACCAACTGAATACCAATTGCCCTCAAAGATTGTAGGAGGAACTATGTGGCTGCAAAAAATAGGAAAGGCCCTGTCTAGAGCCTGTGTTCTGTTTGTCTATTCTGGGCTACTGTGGAAACATTGCTGTTCTATATGGCAGACTCCGTAGAATAGGACTCTGTAGCTAAAAACATCCAATAAGGTAACAAAAACACAATGATTTTTATTTTCAGGTGATCAGGTGAGACTAATGAAAACATGCCTATGATTATTATATTCAGTTTCTGCCAATAGATCCTCCCAAATGTTACACACTGGACCTTTAAGTGACTGGTCTGTCTGAATGTCTTCACGTCTAATTAAGTTTAAACAGATCCTATGTCATTTTAACACGTCGCTACCTGCGACAGAAATTATTTCTCTCTCTGAAAACTTTCCTTCTAATTGTTGTGAAGCTTTAATCACTGATGCAGTCTGCAGCTTATGGTCCCCAGAGTGCACTTCATATTCAACCTGGGGAAATGGTGGAATGGATGGATGGATAGATGGAGGATGGAGGGATGACTAACCAGTCCAAAAGTGCCTTGGTAATATCCGTCAGTGTTGTGTATTTCTACATAACAAGTGTCCATCCACGAGGCAATCTCACCTCAAGAGAGTGATCTGTCTCTCCTTTCCCCTTGCTAAGAGGCTGAGGCTTTATCAGTAAGGCCATGATGAATTCTCAACAGACACCCACTCCGTATGGGCCCTGAGTGAGCATGCATTTAAATGAACCCTCTCTTCCTCTGCCTCGTACTACACAAGGATTTCTAAACTCTCTCTCTTGTCAAGCACTACATCAAACACAATAACAACAGCCGTCCTAGCCCTCCTTCATCCTCATCCCCTCCCTTCTCTACCTCTTTCTTTAAGTCATTTTCTTCTCTGACATTTTTCTTCTTGGTCCACATCACCAAAGACTCCTTTCATCTGCTTTTCATGATGGACTCATCTACATTTTTTAAAGCACCTTACGTCATATCCGAGTTTGTTACTTCGCTCAATCAAACCACAAAGAGTCGTAAGCCATCATTCTTAAGCACCTTGTCTCTTGTCTCTTTTCTACTCTCCTGGTTTTGAACCAGAAGGTGAGAGGCAGCATCCTGGTGATCAGAGCATCAAAGCTGCCAGTCAGCCCCCAGGCTGGTGCATCATTCTCGGGGTGAATTACAGCGTTCTGAGACCCGCTTACTCCATGACCACTGCGGTTTAAGGCACAGCACGTCTGCCACTGGTTTAATTACCACGAAAACACCCCCTCTTACCTGGTCTGCCCTTTCAAGTCCTCGGATTAAAGGGGCATTGCCCCAAGTTTCCTTGAGCTGCAAGGCTGTAGCGATTTTAGACGGATTTCATTGTTTGTTAGCAGTGCTGACCAGGTTAGTTGAACTATAATATCAGTTAATCATTAAATGTTACTTATTGTAAATGTAATAACATTGCTTTTATAATTACTCATCAGTAAAGTAATTAGCTGCATTATTGTTACATTAAGTACGTTACTCAGCCCAGCAATGTCAGAGGTGCCTTTTAAAAACAGTATGGTTTGACAAGCTGCTTGCTCACACAGTTGGGAGGTATTTCCTGACCAGTTAGCTTAGCTTCAGTGACTTCACACATCAGCACTACAGAATTTAAGTCCTCACAGTCAAGCTGTAAGGTTCACACACCCTCCAACTCTGAACTACACCAGGTAGTTCCTGAATGTCAGCTTACCGGGGCTGATATGAGTAGGCTAGCAAAGAAGTTAGAAGTTAAATACGAGGACTTTATCAGGAAGTGCATTTCTTGTTACTGGGAATGCATTTATTCTCTTTTGGTAGAGGCCAACAACCTGTCCTCACCTGCAGCCCAGGTACAACACTAACATGTACTGGACCAGCTAACAAGCCTAATTTGTTAAAGTAACGCAGTGTTACTGGAAATCCATTGCACTACTTATCACTGAAAAACAGTAATCACATTTCTGTAACAGGGAACCAACTAATGTATTATTGTCCTATGCTGTTCATAGAGCAGCACAGATTTTTAAGAAAAAATAGTTGGAAGTAACACTCAGATGAACAGAAGTCACAAGTCTTTCCTCTGACAGTATGTTAAATGAAATTAACAAGGTTCTACTGGAGAACTGGCAGGTATTACTAAGACATGACAAATCATACATGAAGTTTGGGGAAAACTAAGGAAAACGGTTGCTACCTCAAACTCCTTCAATGTCTTCTGATTCAGCATATGAAAATGGGCATAGGACACTCCTACCTCCAGCCACTGGAAAACAATAACTTCACACCACGTTTGGATTTTCCTCAATTAAACCACTGAAGTCATTGTTTCACAGGAAATTAAGGAAAGTTCCATAAAACGTGCTGTAATTATTCATAATCCCAACAATTTGAGTGCAGCTACCTCATTTGGCTCAGTAATTTTGGCTTTTCTGAAATTTTCTTGCATACATTTGCACATTAATGTGGCCTGTTGTATGCGGAGAGGGAGCGTTTTCCTGTGTGATGTCTCACACAGTGGTGCGGCCCAGTCGGGAGGCAGGGCCAGCTGAGACACAAAGATTGGTTTTGTTCTCCTTTCGCCGTGGAGCGCTTTAACACATTCAGTGTTATTGCCTCTTGTCAGTGGTGTTGTGATGTACAAACACCTTTGCAGTTACGTGTTTCTCTGTGTGTGGTCCCTTATATGTCTGTGTACATTGTGCAAAAATTTTACAAAAATATCCAGCTTTTAATTGTCTCACTCATTAATTGTTACATTGCACATACCTGTATAGTCGCAATCAACATTCAGTCAAGACTTCTAATACCGAATGTCCTTGAAATGCAGCAAAAAAATCCCACCAAATTCCTACATACTGTACATCCATCTGCAACATCCATACATTTTATTTACCACAAGCTCTACACCAATCTCCTTGACTCTGTCACTCCGCCCTCCCTCTTTTGCAACTTGGTCCACATCTTTCATGTTTGCAGCGTTTTTCAAACTAGTTGTTGTGCTGGTGGGGAGATATGGCCACCAGTGTCTGTGGCCGGCTCTGTGTTGTGCTGTGACTGTCTCCCTGAGATTTGCATAAATAAGCTCCCAGTCCCAGCATGCCCACGCTGTTGTCCAGGTGCAAGGACATTTGCATATAGAGCTGTGATAGGGCTCCCCTGGGTCCCCTCGGCAACTGCTGAGCGGGTAGGGGGCCGGCAGCACCACAAATGAGTTCTGAATTGGAACCTCACCGCTGCCCTCCATTTTATGTGTGTGGAGGTACGGAGCGAGGCAGAGAGTGACCAGAGAGAGAAAAGGAAGAGATAAAAAGGGAGTGAGAAAAAGATAGAGACAGGGAGATGGGTAGCATATGGCAGAAGGCGCAAACAACAAGACAGACCGCTGGTTAGATATGAGTAACTCATATGTTTAATCCGTAACTTGGTTTGTTGCTGATTATTGACACCAGGGTGGATCAATCAATTGTTTATCTACATCACATAATGAATCCCATAATGGCTTTCAACAGCTCGGCTGATATATTACCGCATATTGTGTTGGACATCAACCAAAGCAATATCAGCCACAATATTTCTTGACTTTCTCTGATGGCCCCATCATGCTTTTCCATTACCATGGAGTCTCAGTGGCCTTTTGAATCAGCAGAATATGGTTTGGGAGGCAGGGAGGCGAGCCCAGTCCTGATTAGTCACATGCAGCTCCTCTGACAATACTCTCTCCATCTGAGCACCATCAAGCCGTCTCTCATTCAAGAAACGACTTCGGATGGGACGCCGGCCAGAGGAGTCTTATGGGATCAGCAAAGAAATCCTGCACAGGAACAGACGCAAGAAATCACACACAAACACAAATATTATAAAAAAATGAATGTTTAGCAGTAATGGCCTACATACTTGCAAATCCTCAAATATACAGTACAAATATCTAATATAAAGTCATATATACGATGAGTTTGGCACTACAGATATGACCCCTCTTAATATATTTGTTGGCACTTCAAGGTATTTAGGATGAAAGCTTGTATATCTATAAAACGATTTCTTCTTCTTTTTGTCATTGAACTATTTGAGCAACTATTTGTGCAGCAGTTTACAGCAGCCACTTTATATAATAAATAAGTATAATCAAAATGGAAATGCCTGGGCAGTGGAGGGCATAATCAAAAACAACTTCTTGCAGATTGCATAGACACTCTAAAAGGATATGATTGCACCTGGTCATCTCTTATAAAAGAAAGAAATATCAACACGAAATCAATACATTGTATGATGTCTGCCACTGCAAAGACATTTTGACCTCAATTACCACAGGATGTCTGTCTAAACAAGCAAGTGAAAACTCAAGGCCAAACAATGAGGTGTTACTCAGAGATGCTCAGAGGTCAGTGAAAACCTTCATTAACTGTTTCTTTATTCAGGGCCGTAAATGTTTTACATTTAAAACATTGCTGCAACAAGATTAAGATGACCCCTCTGATCTAACTGTGGCTGGGGTCAAATACACAGTGAAACACTATGTCATACAGAGAGAATGAAAAGCAAAGCAAAAATATACATACACAAATGTCACCTAGGTAAACCTGTACAATATAATGCAGCCCTGTCATAACATCTACCTTTACAAAATGAAATGTTTAAGTTCAATTTGATGTTTATTATTGAGGTCATAGTTACACAGGACTACAGTATATTGAGAGGTGTTTCTATTTTTTTCCTTTCCTTTTGTATACATGAAGGGGCATTAGAAACGCATTTCAATATAATTCAGTCCTGTACAAGTGAGACCTCGATACAGGTAAAGGAACCCCCAGATGTGTTAAAATATAGATCAACTTCTCAAAAACCATTTATTGAGGCAAGCAAGAAAACAAATCTACATTGCTTTGAATGAAAATCTAAAAAATCATTGCAGTTGAAGATGCTGCATCCATGTATGTAACGTGACTGCAAGATCCTCTGCTGTAATGAATTGTACAGTTTTGATTATATCATTCTATTAGAATTTGCTGAAGCCTTCAACTTGTAGCTCATTGAGTTTTTGCAGTTTATTTCACAGCAGCAGTACATTTACACAGCAAATTAAGTGAAACCAATGGCAATGATGTAGACATTTGTTTAACATCGTGGCAGAACAAGCATGGCTGGTGTGTCAGCCAGGTCAGTGGGACACATACAGAGTCGCTGGTGCCTGATTTAGATTCTGATGCTCATAGGTTGCTTGTGTTTCTTGTATACAGCATACTGTAGTCTGTGTGCATTCAAAACGTATAATCTGCAAAACTGAGTGAGCTATAATCTAAGTTAAAGTTCAGAAAAAAAACATTTTTTATGAAAAGTTTGACAGTCAAAAAGTCAAATAATCTGCTCAAGCAGGACTGTGTCACTTTGTTTTGATCAGATTCTACAACATAATCCAACAACCCCACAACTATCACAGTTTGCGACATCAGCTTTTTCCAACTGAGGATCGTCCACTTTGAATGAAAAAAGCACCTACACAAATGCAGAAATGTCTCATGTGAATAACGCCTTCTAACTGGCAGAAAATAATGTGTTCATGTATTGTTTTGTATTCAGTAATTAAACTTTTCTCAACAACACACATTGTGTGAACACTAACACAGCTGACATTTCTGATGCATTCCCCATCTTTAAAGACTTTAGAAGAACAACCACAACTTTTGACATATTAGCTGTACTGACAGTAAGCAGAAATGTGTGTTACATCACCCCTGTGCTCATGGTGTCTCTGTGTGTGTGATGGTAGAGCGTGATATATTAACAATATGGGGGCCTGCTCCTGCTGTTCACAACCTCTGCAGGGTATACATGTTATTCGAGATTTAGCTCAAAGGCTAAAGCAGTATCAAATAAAATATTATCCCTTGAGGAATGAAATAAAGGTGTGATCACACATTGTTTCCCCATATAAAAAAACCTTTGTTTACATTTGAAATTCTCTCTTTACAGGATCAACCAGAAGGATTTTGTATGAAATGTGTGTGATCAATCCATTTACTGTGCATGATTGATACAGTATGTTTTGCCTTGTTAAAGTGTTCCACGGTGCCAAACAGCCTGAAAATTGCTGGTCTAAAGGACACCAAAGGCTTTGCTATTGAAGTCTCTCTGTGGCTGGCATGACCTCCACTCCAAGTCTATTCAGGGCCTTTTGTTTGGTTCTTTGTTCGGCTCCAGGCTCTAATGGCAAGGGACATGGTGGTCGTTCTCAGTCCTCGGCACTAATGACATTGGCACCAAGGCAGACAGACAGTATTCATCCAATCCGCCGGCCTCCCAACGCGGTCTCATCGCCGTACACCGAGCCTGTGCTGAGTCTCTTCGGAGAGCTCCCATTTAGCCATTCTCTGTGATTTCCCTCTCAGGAAACAACCAAATCATTTTCTCATAGACACGCTCATTAGCTGACAGCCCGTTTCCTGCCAGTTTCAACATTTGAATATTCCCGTGTGTACCTCGGCAAACATCGGAGGTCTCATCGTTTCCAGGCAAAGCCAGAGCCGACATGCCAGCAACGTACTCCAAGGAAAAAGATCTAGATGCCAAAGCAATAAGCTGAGGTGGAAAAAAATAATGGCTCAAATGTTATGATACTCAGTGACATGATGAGAATATGTCAGAATGTAATTAGACATTTGGTTAGAAGGTGCTGCATATTAGGTTAACTAATGAAAATGGATGTTAGGCTACCATGGAGATAGATCCAAACCTGGGAGTATTGTTAACAAAATTTACGAAAAAAAGCCTTTAGCACAATCAGGCACAGATAGACACACAAACATGCATATGCATACCATCAGTTTCAGTGAGTTTAGTGCCTGAGACTGATTTTTATTTCCCTAATATGTTCTGCAGTAAATCTGCATTGTCTGTGGCTATTGAAATACAGAGAAAGAGAGATCAATATAATAGGTTTGGCACTTGGCCAAAATCATCCCTGACAATGTGCGAGGCAGGCATTTGAAATCATCGGTGCATATCCGCGTGTTTGGGGGATAAAAATAATTCCTCGCCTCTTTGCCAGGGAGCGAGAGGCACAATGCCCAGGTCTGAAGGGAAGGGTGCCACATGGGTCTGCAAATTGGCTCAGGCGATCAGACACGGGCATCTCATTTTGTAGAGGAGAAGAAGAAGGAGGGGTGGGGGCGGAGGGGGGGAGGGGAGGGGAGGGGGGTGGGAGAAGGAGATGAAGATGGGAGGTGTGTGTGTGTGTGTGTGTCTGTGTGTGCGTGCGTGTGTGTGTGTGTGTGTGTGTGGTGGTGGTGGTATTGGGGATGGGTGGGTTGGGGGTAAACAATTCCAATGATTTCCCCAACCTGGCACAGTCCAGGATGTGGATGGCTGCACTGGAGAGGAATTGCAACGGGTTTATTTGGCTCTCTGTTTGTTTCTTTATTGGGAGGAGAGAGAGAGAGAGACAGACAGACAGAGAGCGAGAGAGGGAGAGAGAGGGAGAGTAGAAAGAACGAGGAGGGAAGAGGAGGAGGGTGTCTGTTTCTTGTCAGAGCAGTCAGATGAGGGAGGATGTTCAGAACAAATTATTTCATTCAGATGAACTGAAAATCATTCCTGTACATTTGCAAACATTTGCTGTTGAAGTTGCCAATCCTGAGAATAAGCCACATTTATGCATACACAAACCTGAATGTTGAGGAGGTAATTTCCTTTGCGGAGGCTGACTGATAGCATTAACCTCTGATGTGATGTCAATTTTAATGTCAACCATTTTAACTTGTGGGCAATTATGGCAAAGTTATGAGTAGAATGCCAGATTTAAACACCCAATAGAGTTATATTGCATACACATAAACAGCTGTATGCAAACACACAGGCATAAAGGTATCTTACACCAGGAGTTTATTTTACTATTTATTTTTTACACATGTCTGCTTTCATGTGCATGCACTGACACATGCTTGGCTAACCGGATACACTTGCACACAAGCACACACATGCACACGTACACCCGCATGCTTCCCATGCAGGTACCCTGGGCACCCTACAGACTAGGCTGCTGCCGAAGAAGTCTCAGCGGGAGCGCTAGATTAAAAATGACAATCACTCGGGGTGCACGGCAAACACCACAGGAAACGCAGGTGCCTTTGTTAAGAGACACCCAGCGCTCTAAAGGGCCTAATTATCTGCTGTTATTTTGGCAGTTATCAGGCAGAGAATAACTCCCCTGCTCAGACTCAGACTCACACAGCGAAAAATTACTCACTGGCTCACTGTGAGGTATTATATTGCACCACTGACAAGGTATGCATATTATATGCCGTGCTGGAATTTCACTAGAATTTTTCACAATAGACTGTTGTGGTTTCCTGTTTTGTACGGAAAGGAAATTATTAGTATCAGCTTGATCATTAAACAAACCAAAATGTAATGACTCTGAATTGCATACAACAGATTTTCCAAAGCAACTGCCAAGTGAAAGATACCAAAATTGGGCAAAACTCTGAATTAAAAGACAAAATAATGCTGACTTCACAGCAATTTGCTCATGGGTCATAAAAATGCAGAAACAGAGGAAGATATTAAAAACGGTTCCCCCCTGCTCTAAAGGGCTAGGTGGCACTGTTGGGCATGCTTTCAGTCACATGCATACATATCCTCCTCTCAGCTCATGAACAGATAATTGGACAGTTTTATGGAGGATATGAACTCTGAAGGGGAACTTAAGCCATCTAATCATTGGCATTCAGCGTATGCTATTCATATGCATAAATACAAATAAAACACATTCTCTGCCTGCACAAAGAGAACCCTTACTGAAAAGGAAGTCGTACT